CATAAAAATATTAAAAAATCATTTTGAAGTTTAAAAAAACAGTTTATTTATATTTCAGTTTATTTTAGTAGTCCGTAGATGTTAAAAAAACAAACAGTCTTCTTTTTTCAGACTGCAGACGTTTGGTCCACCTCTTCTACTGCAGAGGTCTACAGATGTGGTCCGCAGACTGCAGACATTTTGTCTCAGAAAAAACAAACAACACCTTAATCTCTATCAATAAAGAAGGTGTTGGGTTGGAAAAAGATAAATACATACAAAAATTAAGGGGATAAAAATATCATTGGAAAAAAAATAGACATACAAAAGATATGCAAAGACGTGTACATAGAAGATTGTTGGAAATAAAGTCGAGACACAAAAAAGATATACAAATAAGTTAAAAAAAAACATGTTAATGTTGGACTATCGACCTTGATGGTAAAGAAAACAAACGCAACCACTAGGACGGTCGTAGCTAATAGTTTTAAAATGACGCACAATACTTGTAAAATGAATAGGAGTGGTTGTTGTTCATAAAAAAAAAAAAAAAAAAAAAAAAAGTTAAGAAAGTTTAAAAAATGAATGATGGGGGCCAAATCCTCGCCCTTAATAGTAATGAAAACACACGAAGCCATTAGGTATGGATACTAGTGTAAATGCGTTGATAATTGTTTGTGATAAATGATGTATAATCTGAACAATTTGTTTCATCGACCATATTTCATAAGCAACGCCCTTTTGCCTCTATCTACAAAAATAATTATAAACTATCGAAAATAATAAACTTTTAGGGAATCATATTAACCTAACAATATTTTTTATCAACCATAAAACTCATCAAAACGGGAGGTGTATATATAGTAATTAAGGCATCTCCGATGTTTAAACTCAAAAAAAGATTTACTTTTGTGACATCATCTTTCCACCAATTTTTATTTTATAAAAACTTTTATCAAATATCATCTCCAATTGTTATATAAATCCGATCCGAACCAACCAAATTATAAATCGATATATCAATTTTTATTATTCGGTTTTTAAAAATTAAGACATTTAATAATATAACTTTGACTTAGAATGGTTAAGTTATCGGGTTTACATCTCAATATACACTAATAAAAATATAAAGAAATAATTAAGTTGTCAAATAATTATTTATAAAAGAATTTTTTCATAATTTAATATAATATTTATAAAAAACATTTGAAATATTGTTATTAAATATGAGGGACAAAAATTTCAATATAATTAAAAAGTCTAATGAACAAAAAACTTAATAAAGTATATTAGTTCAAATAAAATATAATTAACTAAATTAAAAGTTATTAAATTCTTAGAAAACTGGTTTTTAATTTATTAATCACAACAAATTTAAATCCAAATTAATAAATGAGACATGTTACAAAACCAAATGAGAATACCCAAGCTATATAGCTAAATTCAAATTGTTCAATTTGACAATTTAGTTTTATCTAAACAATGAACACCTATAGCCGCCATCATCATTCTTTCTTTCTGTCGCCACCACCTTAACTACTTCCTTCCATAACCGCCTTAGTTGTTTCATACCGTTGCGTGATTATTCCAATTTGAAACTTATCAATCGTCACATTAATTGTTTTCTTCCATCATTGTCTTGTATGTTTATTCCATAACCAACTTGTTGTTACCGAACTAAAACTTAAAGACATGTGCCTTTGTTTTTGCACTAGATTTTGACGAATAGAAGTCTTTCATATTTTTTAGGGTTGCTCATTGTTACGTATCTTATTTGTTGTTGCTCCAATGTCCGTGTTTGTGAAGAATATAAACTATGTCCCTTCATCTTCTTCGATGTTGTTTCCACCGTCTTTTTTATATCTCTGAAAAATATATCACCTTCCACTTACATCAAAAAAATTTGGATATATATTTAATGTTTTTTGTATTTCATGTTTATTCAAGATCTTAGGATTTAATTTTTTGCTATTTCAGACTTATTCTTAATATTTGGTTTTAATGTCGTTATTATATAAATGTATTCAATATTTTTGCTTTTCAAAACTATCTAAATTATCATTTATCAAACTTAAATGTTTTATTAAGTATCATCTTATAATTTATCAGTTTACTAACATATGTTATATTTCCGGGTATTGGATAATTTTTCTGAAAAAACTTATCGTGTACTTATCATTTTACTAACATGTGTTCCAAATCGCATCTTACTTTCAACAATAGGTGGTTAGGGAAACATATGCATAGCAGTAACATCAGTTGATTATTTTGTTATATCTTCAAGATTTTAAATTATCTTCCACTTTAGGAAGAAAAAAATCAGTATCTAACTCATGTTCACCAAAGGGTTTCTAGTCCAACAGTATCAAGTGTTCTCTTCCATCCTTAGACATATGTGGATTTAGAAGTGGTTTATGATTATATTATATTTTTTATTCAAAAAAAAATCTAACTCATGTTCAAGACCGCATTTGAAGTTTATTTTAGAATAATGTCTAACAATCATTAACCACCCATTTTCATGCTTATTTTGAACATACAAATACCATTAATTGGTTTATTTATATGGGCAATTGTGAGAGTAGTTTGCATCGACTTTGTGAATATAGTCTAAAAAACAATAAGAATCAACATGCAATAATATTCCAACACCCAAACAACTTTATTGACAGTTGATTACAAAACGATTCTTTGTCCCGGTAACCTTCGGTTTGTTGATTTCCTTGTTTTCCCTCTTACTCAGTCCGAGTTGGTTCATGCATCGGGGTCTATTTGACCGAGTAAGAACTTATGTAAACTTTATATTGTTATGACGTACGTTTCCCAGCTCCAAATGACATGATTGTTTTTGCTATTACTTTATTTTTTTCATTGAAAACATATTGTATTAGGTAAACTACTAATGTTGTATACAGACACCTAGTATTCATATCCATTTCCAAGTGGTATCATGTATTTAATTCACTCGTTCACATTTTAACGAATGCGACTACATACCAAGTCAAGGTTTATACTCTTATGTATTGTAAGCTTTTGCATGATACACAACTTTAATATAAAGTTTCAAATTAGTAATCACGCACTGAACTTTGTATCCATGAGTCATCCATCTAAACAATTTTTGTTTAACCTAAAACATATTAGACTCATCTCAGTATCATCACTTAAGCTCTAAGAAATCCTCATAATTCTTAGTTCACTTAAACTAATGTTCTGATACCAACTGTGACATCCTCTATTTTTCCATAACCAAAAAAAACTCTTCTTTACGCTTTAAAATCATAGTATTTTTGTTTTCAGAAGATCCCAGTATAATAAAATATTGTGCGGACACTATTTCGTTTTATAAAAATTGTCTTTGAGTAAATATGTTATTTCAAATACAAAAAACTCTAATGATGCCATAATCAATACACAACTTTGTTACAGTGTAAAGACCCAATGGTCATGAACACTAATGCATGTTGTCTCTTAATCACTCGGCATCATAATCAAGTATGGTCATGAACACTAATGCATGTTGTCTCTTAATCACTCGGCATCATAATCAAGTTTCAGTAGCATAACCCTGTAACCAGTGATGCAAATAAACTGAGTAAGTCAAGCTTGGGAGCCTAGTGAGCACATAGGGTTTTCAACCCACAATAATATAATTATAATCTTTTAAATATTCACCCAACAAATAACCCAATTATCCATTCTCACTATTCTCACTCCCTGATCTCAATATAAATGATCTCAAGGGACCTACCCTAAAGGACCACTACAAGTAATGAGTAGACAATGATGTTTCGTGGATTCTGCTAGTGTTCCACCAGACTGTCT